CAGGGTCAGGCCATATGGAGCTGGGATTGGCACACAAGACTGGGAAAGCACTCGAGATTTATTATTTTTAAATGAAATTGCTGTTCCAAATGGCATGTCTCTTCCTTTGCAGAAACTGAAGCGCGATTTAGTAAAACAGGAGGACTGCTTGCTGAAGCTTAACCGCAGCCTTAAGGATGCAGAGCACTGCTGCAGCGCGGTCCAGAACAATTTCCAAGAGTACTGTCCAGATCTGCCAAGGCAGAAGAAGGAAGTCCAGCTCCTTAATGACCGATACCATGCTGTGGCTGACCAGTTGGATCACCGGTGAGAACCTCAGCCTTCTCCGGTGGTGGGCGTTGAGTGGTAAAGAAATAATAATCATCATTGTAAAGGGGGAGGTTCTCAAACACCTTTGTGAGACAACTTGTTGAAAAAAACAGATTTGGAATTGTAGATCTTTGCAGAGGTAGCTCCAAAAACTAATTTAAGCCAACACACTGAAATCATCTTGACCCCTGTATGGAGCCACAGGAGAAAGTGTAGAGTGGTTGCCGTTTTGTTTTCAGACCCTTCCAGCCACTACTTTGCCACAAGGGGTGTGGCTGACAGCCTTCTCCTCCTGCCGCTGCTTTGAAAGTTGTCTACATCCAGAAGCAATCTTACCTTAATAAATAATAGGGAGAAATCAGAGTGTGTGTATCCTGTTAAGGCCTCCCCCTCAATAGCACACATAAATGATTCAAACTCGTTTACCACTGCTGATCGGATGGAGATTTATAAGAGCAACACAGCTCTCTCATATAACTATAGCATGGGTAGCTAGGCCTTCAAAAGCAGAAGAATGGGTCCTTCTTGCCCATCCACCTCCTGCCTTGTAATGTTCAAACAGAAAAGGGCTCTTGATTCACATCTAACTTGAAAACACAACTCAGAAGGAAGGAAAGAGCTCAAGATACGTTCTAGAGCCAGCAAAGCACAATTAATAGTTTTTTTAAAAAAAAAAAACCTCCCCTCACTGTCAGGGCAGAGACTCTCAAGGCTAGACAGAAAAAACTTTGCCTTCCCATGTTCTTCTTGGGCATTCAACCACTAGATGCAGGGTCAAACTAGACACTGAGGGAATTCATATTCCCTTAACCTTTTCCCTCCAGTGATGGGATTTCCTCAGAAATACATACCTCAGCAACTGGACTGCAAAGCAAGCCCATGTTTATCATCTGATGACCAATCGCAAAATAGCTAAATGAAAGATACAAAGATGATGAAAAGCATCTATTATGACATACAGACATCCTTCCACTTAGGAGGGAGCTCTGTTTCTCAATATGAACCAAACGTGCTGCTTTGCGTGTCAGAAGAATCCAATACTTGTTACTAACTTGTTCGTCTTAAATTTGCGACAGCGTGGTCTGAGATGGGATACAAACACTAACAAAATTCTGTGAGAACAAAAAAGTCTCTGTGTTATAATGATTGACTTCATTTGTCTCTTACTTTAACCACTCTGCCTTTCAGAGGGGTGTATGTATATATTCTAGCAACATTTCTTGCTAAATCTGTCTTATTAATCTCTTTCCCTTCTCTGTGCAGGGAGAAGACACTGCGGAACACTAGCCTCACCTACCAGCAGTTCCAAAATGCCAATGAGAACCTGATGTTCTGGCTCAACAATCTTCCCAAATACCAGGTCAAGACCACAGATGGACCCAGCCAGATCAACTACAAGCTCCAAGCTCAGAAGGTGAGCCTTGTGCTATCTTCCGACAAAGAAAAAGGTACTTGCTGTGCTCCTCTCATGCAGGATTTGTCAGAATAAATGGATGGGTGCATGCAAGGAAAAAAGCTTGAGATTATGCAAGACATGTAAAAATGGAAATCGGTTCTAGAAGAGCTGCCTTAGTTCACAGTCACATATGTGTGCTTTTCGTTCAGTAGCCACAACAGCAAAGCATTATGTGCATGTATGAAACAGCCACCAGAAATCAAACAGCTAGCTTAAAATGATTTTCCCATAAAAGTGTTTCAATTTTTGTTGTTTGTAGCAAAATTACACTGGTACTTTAAAAATAAATAAAATTGATCAGTAATAATCCAACACTGTGTTCGATCTTGCTTTTTCCTAAATCCCTACTTTTATTTCTCCTGCAGAGACTGGCAGATGAGATCCAGGGCAAAGAGTCAGACAAGAAGACAGTGGTCAACTTGTCCCAGAATGTGCAGTCTGTCCTGAATGTACGTTTGTCGGGTGGAGACACACATTTCCTAGTGACAAGGGGGTGAACCATCTCCTCTTCTGCTGACTCTTTTTGTGTTTTCATTTAAAACCAGGACTATGAGCTTCAGGCAGGAAAATACCGGTCTTCCCTAGATCCTGCTTTGACTGCTTCATCTGCCAAACGCATGCGGGTGACTCCGCTTCAGGAGAGCATCCAGGCTCAGGTAAGAGCTTGAACCCAAGGCTCAGATCTATTTTTGCACCTCCTAAACCAGCCAGTTCAAATGTCTTTTAAAAAAAAAGCTTACAAAATGTCAGAACAGCAACATGCCATTAAAAATAAGAGCACCTGAAGAATCATAAGAGTCAGAAACCAGCAATGCTATGGACCATTATAAACAGAAGTACGGTACATAATGAAATAATCCATTAAATGGATAGAGGTCCTCCTAATTGGGAAGATGTTTTCTGAAGGAGAAGCAAGCAAAGATACAGACATTTGTAACGAGTATGAATCGGCAAAGCTCACAAGAGGAACATGCTCAGGCTGCAAAGTTCTTAGCTTCGATTTGCAGCGATGTCCCATTGAACCTGGTGACAGTGCATTCACTCTGACCAGAAGTGAGATGATATTTTTATATGTAATATTGCACTATCATGTGGTTTAAAGGAAAACAAGAAATGCATCAGTGAGTGATGTTCCCATACTATAGTTTAGTAGATTTGGTAGCCTTGAAATAGAGAAGGAAATCACTATATACCACATAAGCAAGTACCATGATGTCTGATTAATGCTTCTACTGCTTCCCTTTAGGAAAACAACGTGACAAAGCTCTACACAGAGACAGCTGCTGAAAACAAACAGCAGCTCAGTCAGCTAGAATTTGCCAAGACAATTATGGACAAGGTACGTGTGTGTTATGTTGGGTTTCAAATGCAATAAATGAATAACTGGAAATTGCCATTATCTCAGAGAACAGAGACAAAATAACACTGCTTGCCATTTCATTCAGGCGAGCATGCTAATACCCATAGAACTGACGGAGTTTGTACAGTAGTCCCCTTTGTATATAGCAGAGTGCACAGCAGAGACTTAACTTGAATAAAGTTAAAGGTATTTATTTTACAAAAGCATGATTCACATTTAATTCATGTCAGTCAAATACTTGTAGTCCAAAAGATATAACAGCTTTTCATTGCTTATTACTTGCATTTAAATTAGTTGCTTGTAGCCTCTGTAATTTCAGGGCTCATGAATCCTTTAACAGTTTCTTTTCTGTTTTCTCTTTCACTCATATGGAAATATCCGTGCAGACTCCTCTCACTTCATCTGGCAGTATATTTTCATTCTGTTGCTTTGTTCCGCAGCTTCCTTCCTTCTTCCTCTCTCCCGCCAGTCTGCTTCTCCTGCTCATACTCATACTTTGCTGCTGCTGCCGCCTTTATGCTGATCTTACTCAGAGGCATTCAGTGTTTCTCAAGGTCATACTTGTCAATCTCACCTGCCTGTCTTTCCCTCTTGTAACTTTACTGAGCAGAAATGCTCTTTGTAAAATATAACCCCAACAAGAAGGCCGATAGGTTCAAATCCACAGATGCTGTATGATTACTTGAAGCCAGCATTGGTCTTTCAGTAGACAAATGTTACACAGAAGTGATTTTCTTCAATCCTCCATTTTCTCAGGGAGCAACAAGGAGACTTCAAGTCATAGGAACAGAAAAGGAAACTGCTCAGAAAGAGTGTGAGTCGTATCTTTCCAAGAAGCCTGCTGGCACCATGGCCTCCCAGCTTCCTGTGACCCTTAACAATACCAAGAACAAATACAATGATGTTAAGGTGCTCTCGAGGCTCTATGATGAAAAGTAAGTGGCACCAGGCAGCAGATTTTGCTATTGACAGTTTCTCAGCAGGCTCTTTAAGTTGAGATGAAGAAAACTTTTTTTAATAACTGATGCAACATTTCAGCGATGGTCTATTACAGTCTTTTAAAAATTCACTTCCTCTACTCCCCCTGCCAAGGAGCAGAGGAAATGCTCAATTTTCTGCTACCCCTGAAATGGCTCATTTAATAAGCCACTTCATGATATTGGAAATTCAAGCTGGAAGGAGCCTTGACAGCCAGAAGGGTTGCTTTTGGACAGTTCAACCTGCTCCAAAAAATAGAAGCCCCTGATCAGAGGTCCAGAAAGGAGAGGGTAGGAATGCTCTGAGGGTGATTTAGTTTGCTCCAGCGATCACGGTGTGTGATTGCTGGAAAAATGAGCAAACCAACATATCCCCACAGTGGACCAAACATGCCCTTGGTGTGATGAGGAAGAAGCACTTCTAAAATGTTTCTGTGGACTGTTACCTGTTTTAATTTGAACGCTGGTAAGAGAAGAACATCTTGCTTTAGTGTGAAGATGGCTATTTTGAAGTAAAATGGGTTTAATAATATATTCTATTCCTCAGAGCTAAAGCAGCCCTGAATCTGGAGAATCAGATAGAGAACACAGACAGGATCATCAGCAACTTTGAAGCCAAATTATCTCATGATGGCACCATCCCAGCCTCACCAAATGCACTTCAGGATCGAGCCAATGAACTTCAGGTCAGATACCTCTGGAGTCAGCACGACACTGGTACAGAGTACTGTAATAGGGTGCTTTTTCTACCCACAAAATATAGGAGGCAATAGGGGAGTTGAAACAGGATGTTCCTTCATTTTAAAATTCCCCTAGGAAGCCAGATCTACTAAAGTCACACTCATGCATTATCAAATCATCGACATGGAGAGCATCTAGAAGAGAGCACCTAGTCCCAACCCCCTCCATTGTTACTTTTTGTGAGTTTTTCAGGGTTCTTGCTCACATTTAGAGCCTATTCATGAGCATGACTCACTGTTCTTCACTGCTTGCTTGGAGAAAGTGTTCCACTATAACCACAAAGTTCCTGCTAGACTGTTTAATAGGTAAATAGGGCTTAATGCAGAAACAACTTTATATCTGATAAATACATTACACCTCTTTCATGACAGATTTGAACCTGAGAGGCATTATCCCATTTTTTTTCAGCACTCATCTAACTGGTCCTAAAATCACTAATCAATCTCCCTTGGAGCATCACTAATCTTCTATCTCTGTGGCCAAATATAATCTAGGACCATCTCTTCAGCATGTGTTAATTTCCACGATGAAAGCTGCTGTTCGGGAGTTTTAGCCAAAATCTAATGATAGGGCTTGAGACAGAGCATGCTGAAGTCCTGTGTGATCATTGTACCTGGCACTGTGAGGGCAAGATAAGGATGAATTGCAACCACAGGGTCAGGCCATATGGAGCTGGGATTGGCACACAAGACTGGGAAAGCACTCGAGATTTATTATTTTTGAATGAAATTGCTGTTCCAAATGGCATGTCTCTTCCTTTGCAGAAACTGAAGCGCGATTTAGTAAAACAGGAGGACTGCTTGCTGAAGCTTAACCGCAGCCTTAAGGATGCAGAGCATTGCTGCAGCGCGGTCCAGAACAATTTCCAAGAGTACTGTCCAGATCTGCCAAGGCAGAAGAAGGAAGTCCAGCTCCTTAATGACCGATACCATGCTGTGGCTGACCAGTTGGATCACCGGTGAGAACCTCAGCCTTCTCCGGTGGTGGGCGTTGAGTGGTAAAGAAATAATAATCATCATTGTAAAGGGGGAGGTTCTCAAACACCTTTGTGAGACAACTTGTTGAAAAAAACAGATTTGGAATTGTAGATCTTTGCAGAGGTAGCTCCAAAAACTAATTTAAGCCAACACACTGAAATCATCTTGACCCCTGTATGGAGCCACAGGAGAAAGTGTAGAGTGGTTGCCGTTTTGTTTTCAGACCCTTCCAGCCACTACTTTGCCACAAGGGGTGTGGCTGACAGCCTTCTCCTCCTGCCGCTGCTTTGAAAGTTGTCTACATCCAGAAGCAATCTTACCTTAATAAATAATAGGGAGAAATCAGAGTGTGTGTATCCTGTTAAGGCCTCCCCCTCAATAGCACACATAAATGATTCAAACTCGTTTACCACTGCTGATCGGATGGAGATTTATAAGAGCAACACAGCTCTCTCATATAACTATAGCATGGGTAGCTAGGCCTTCAAAAGCAGAAGAATGGGTCCTTCTTGCCCATCCACCTCCTGCCTTGTAATGTTCAAACAGAAAAGGGCTCTTGATTCACATCTAACTTGAAAACACAACTCAGAAGGAAGGAAAGAGCTCAAGATACGTTCTAGAGCCAGCAAAGCACAATTAATAGTTTTTTTAAAAAAAAAAAACCTCCCCTCACTGTCAGGGCAGAGACTCTCAAGGCTAGACAGAAAAAACTTTGCCTTCCCATGTTCTTCTTGGGCATTCAACCACTAGATGCAGGGTCAAACTAGACACTGAGGGAATTCATATTCCCTTAACCTTTTCCCTCCAGTGATGGGATTTCCTCAGAAATACATACCTCAGCAACTGGACTGCAAAGCAAGCCCATGTTTATCATCTGATGACCAATCGCAAAATAGCTAAATGAAAGATACAAAGATGATGAAAAGCATCTATTATGACATACAGACATCTTTCCACTTAGGAGGGAGCTCTGTTTCTAAATATGAACCAAACGTACTGCTTTGTATGTCAGAAGACTCCAATACTTGTTACTAACTTGTTCGTCTTAAATTTGCCACAGCATGGTCTGAGGTGGGATACAAACACTAACAAAATTCTGTGAAAACAAAGAAGTCTCTGTGTTATAATGATTGACTTCATTTGTCTCTTACTTTAACCACTCTGCCTTTCAGAGGGGTGTATGTATATATTCTAGCAACATTTCTTGCTAAATCTGTCTTATTAATCTCTTTCCCTTCTCTGTGCAGGGAGAAGACACTGCGGAACACTAGCCTCACCTACCAGCAGTTCCAAAATGCCAATGAGAACCTGATGTTCTGGCTCAACAATCTTCCCAAATACCAGGTCAAGACCACAGATGGACCCAGCCAGATCAACTACAAGCTCCAAGCTCAGAAGGTGAGCCTTGTGCTATCTTCCGACAAAGAAAAAGGTACTTGCTGTGCTCCTCTCATGCAGGATTTGTCAGAATAAATGGATGGGTGCATGCAAGGAAAAAAGCTTGAGATACTAGAGAAAATCCAGTGATTGATTGCAATTGACATAAGTGTTGATTTTCCATGCACCACTTGACTCAGAGGACCTGATCTAACAATATGATGCTGGCCTACATCTCAGTGATGCTTCAGGCTTTGTTGATGTTAATACAACCTGCATACATTCCTCTTTTATATATTTTTATGTTTTGGTTGGGTTTTTTATCCCTGTAATCCTTTTTAAATTTCTGATTATAATTTCAAGTGGTTCTGCACCTCAAACAAGAAGAAAAATGATAAAGGGCATTTGTCTTGTGTCTTTGAGAATATATATATGATACTGGACAAACTATGATTCACTATTACAGTGGTGCCCCGCATGACAACGATAATCCGTTCCAGGAAAATCGCTGTACAGCGAAATCGTCATAATGCAAAAAAAAAAAAAAATTGGAATGCATTGAAAACCAGTTAATGCATTCAAATGGGGAAATACCTCATCGTCCAGCGAAGATCACCCATAGAGAACCACCGATCAGCTGTTTAAAATTGCTGTTTTCCGAAGCTTCTGTCTGGAAGTCATTTTGCGAAGGGAAGCCATTTTGTGGAGCCGGAAAAATCATTGTTTTGTGAACAAACAGTTCGCGAAGCATGGACCTAATCGACGTAAAGCGAAAAAACCCCCATAGGAACCATTGTTTTGCAATCACTAATCGTTGTCAAGCGATTTCATCATCATGCGGGGTTGTCGTAATGTGGGGCATCACTATACTTTGCTCTTGTGTTTTTCTAGATCAGTCAAATCTAGGACTTAATTTGTTTCTAGATTTGTTTCTGATTTTTAAATGCTTTTGGAGTTTCAAGAAAGCATGCCATTCAACAGTTTTCTTTTGAAGATCTAAAGGCATTTAAAATTGGAAACAAATCTAAATCCTGCATTAAACTGACTTATAAACAGCCAATGGCCTTTGCCAGTTCAGTTTTAAAATAAGGCAGAACTCAGCTTTCAGGAATGTATTCACTTGGTTTGAATCAGTTTCTCCTGTGCTGTATTATTGTAACACTATGGGTCATATCCAAAATTAGTTATGCTTAGAGTAACCCCATTGAAATTAATGGGTATTAAAGTAAACTGCCACTAACTTATCCCACTGATTTCAGTGGAGTTATTCCAGTAGTCTAGAAATAATTGAACGGGATTCTGTTTTCTAATTAGACAAGCAATTTTGATGCTGTCTCTCGTGCTATTTAGAATTGTGCTGACAGTATTTATATAGTGGGGTTTTTTTTTTCTCATATATTCAACATGCTATGTTCAGCCACTATCTATTAGGGGACAACCACACAGAAGTTTGTTCCACATTGATTTAAACATCTCTGTACTGCACCTTGGTGTTTAAATCCCTGCCATGTTTCACATAAAAATGTTTAATTATCCTGGGAAGGTGTGTTTCAAATCCCCAAAGATCATACAGCACCACCACACACACACTTCCTTGTTTGTTATTATCGCCACCCTTTTATTCAACTCTTTCACTGGCATTCAGATCCCCCTTGTTAATGTTTAACAAGTGAAACTGTGTTGACTGATAAGACATGGTAATCATATGAATTAGCGCTATGTCAGTTTAGCACAGTAGCACTAAGTTTTATAGCTCAATGAGTTAGGTATCTGGCTGTGAAGTCAGAGTTTGGCAGTTCAATACTCCATATTATGTTCTAGGACAGTGGTTCTCAAACTCGGGTCACCAGATGTTCTTGGATTGCAATTTGCAGAAGCCTTCACTACTTGCTGTGCTGGCCAGGATTTCTGGGACTTGCAGTTTGAGAACCAGTGTCCTATGAGAAGAGCCATACTGTGTAGCCTTGAGCAAGCTGCATAGTCCCAGAGTACCTCCAGTAGAAGGAAATAGTAAACCACTTCTGAATATACCTTGAATACCCTGAAAAGGGTTGTCATACGTTGGAACTGAGAGCATGTCATTTTTATTATATGAGTGCTATAACTATAAGAGCTACATTAGGAGATTTTTTTAAAAAGTTTACAAACTGCACTGCAGTTGTAGTTCTTACCATTGTGAGCAGAAGCATGGCAAAAGGAGCAGGGTTCACTCCCACACCACTCCTTACTCTGTGCATCATCAGTAATGTCATCTGGACCCACTGAACAATTACTCTATCTGTCTGAAACAGGCGATCACACAAGCCAAAGGCAACACAAAATAACATGAGTGGAAATGCTACCACAAAACAAAAACAAAACCCAAGCCCTGCCAGCTGAACAAAATATACCACATACTCATGCAAAGAGATTGGATCTGCTTGTGATTAGTACTAACGTTATTTAGTCTGTTGAATAAATGTCGAAAGGAACAGTGAGAAACATGGTACAAACAGTGGGACAAATCCCCATCTAATCACTTTCTTAGCATATACAGTATCACAAATTCGGAGGGATAAGATAGGGGTTTATCGAAAAGGATCCAGTGTGTTCATGGCTGGACTTGTTATTACTATATCACAAATTCGGAGGTGAGGGATAAGATAGGGGTTTATCTAAAAGGATCCAGTGTGTTCATGGCTGGACTGAGATTTGATTCCTTGTTAGCTTCTAATCCTCTGCCACGTAGAAACCAGACTGGCACAGCTACTTCTACAAAAACCATTTATTTGCTGAACTGCTACATTAAACTTGTTCACAACTAAGGTATTACCAGATACAGTATCTTCCGAAAACCCTTGATGAATAAATTCAACATTAAGAGTCATAGCGTTAGCACTGTGACATTCTTTTGCCTTTTCTTCCTAAACTCATTTTTCTCTCTCTCTTTTTTTTCTGTAGAAGGAGGTCAGTGAGACAGTACAGGTCTCTCTCTCTTTCTTTCCGTAGAAGGAGGTCAGTGAGACAGTACAGGTGATGCATGGGCAGACCCAGCAATCGGAAAACACAGGCAGATCACTGAGAGAGTCAGAAGCCCTGAAATCTCAGCTGGAAGAGGAAAAGAACAAGAAAGCCAGGGTTGAGGAAGAGCTGGAGGAACAAAGAAGCAAGCTTCTGATGCTGAAGACCCAGCGGCCCATAGAAAGAGTAGAGGAGAAAGAAGTAATAGAGTATTACAGAGATCCAGCTCTGGAGAGTGACATCTCTAAAATATCTCATCAAATTGAAGGTGAAAAGAGGAAGAGAGAGGGCCTATTGGCGGATATTGAGAGAATGAACAATAAGGCACTCCAAATGGAAACAGAGAAGAAGGTTGTGAAAAACCAGCTGCTTACAAAAGAAATTACTAAGATAGAGAAAGATCCAAGCCTAGATGCCCAAGCTGCCAGACTCCAAGAGGAAATCAGGCACCTCCGTGAGAATTCAAATTCCTTCTCTGAACTTGAAAGGCTGAGGAAAGAGCTTCACAGGCTGGAGCAGATGCAGCCAAATATCCGAGAGAAAGTGGTGTTAAAAGAGGTAGTCAAGCTGGAGAAGGACCCAGAGATGCTCAAGGCAATTAGGACACTGCAGATGCAAATTGATGAAGATAGTTTTAAAAGGAAGTCTGTCATGGAGACAACAGCAAAACTGAAAAGTAGAATTGAAGAGCTTGAAAAGCTGATTGAAACAGCAGAACCAAAAGTCATTGTGAAGGAGGTAAAGCAAGTGGAACAAGACCCAGAGCTTCTGAAGGAATCTTCCAAGCTTCAAACTCTCATTGATGAGGAGAGGAACAAAAACTCGTTGCTAGCAAGTGAACTGGAAGAGCTACAAAGCAAATACAGCACTGTAGAGAACCAAAAGCCTAAGGTTGAAGTTAAAGAAAGGATCAATGAAATATTTCGTATAGACCCAGAAACAGAGCAGGAAATAGCACGTTTGAAAAGAGAACTCCAAGAAACCACAAGGAAAAGGACAAGGGTTGACCAGGAGGTGGAAGCAGCCTTGGCTGAGCTGAAAGTTCTTAGATCTCAGACCCCTACCGTGGAATTTCAAGAGGTCATCCAAGAGGTGGTGAAGACGGAGAAAAGTCCAGAGATTCTAAGAGAAATAGACAGGCTGAAACAACAGCTGAATGACCTTGTGAATGCAAATGGCAGATCCCAAGAACAGCTGATCAGGCTACAAGGGGAAAGGGATGGGTGGAAGAGGGAAAGATCCAAGGTTGAAACCAAACTAGTTACAAAGGAAGTTGTTCGGTATGAGAATGACCCTCTGCTAGAAAGAGAGGCTGAACGCCTCCGCCAAGAATTACGTAATGCATCACAAAAAAGAAGAGCAACAGAAGATGATGTCTATGACCTGCAAAACAAATACATGCTTCTGGAGAGGAGAAAGCCTGAGGAAAAAGTGGTGGTCCAGGAGGTTGTTCTTACACAGCGAGACCCTAAGCTCAGAGATGACCATAGCAGGCTGAGCAAGAGCTTGGATGACGAAGTGAGCAACCGCCGGCACCTGGAACGTGAGGTCCAACAGCTCAGGGCAGTGGTGGAAGAGAAAGAGAAATTGCTCAACTTCCAAGATGACCGAAACAAAAGGCTTGCTTTGGAAAAAGAAATGAGGCAGATCACCTTACGGATAAAGGAAATTGAGGAAAGCCCAGCCCCAGTCCAAGAGAAAATAATAATGGAAGAAGTGGTCAAATTGGAGAAGGACCCAGTTCTTGAGCAGTCCAGTACCAACCTGCGCATTGAGCTGGACAATGAGAAAGCTCAGGTGTTGAGCTTGCAGAGGGAGTGCAAGAGCCTTGAAGTCCAAATTGACGTTTTGCAAAAAACAAAGTCCCAGGAAAAAACCATCTACAAGGAAGTCATTAGAGTAGAAAAGGATAGAGCGCTAGAAAACGAGCGAGCGCGTCTCTGGGATTTGCTAAGCAGGGAGCGAGCCAGCCGACAAAATGCAGAAGAAGGTATCAGGCATCTCAAAGAAAAGATTGAGAGAGCAGAAGGCATGATGAGAACATGGTCCAGAGAAGAAGCTGATCTCCAGAAAACTCGGAGTGCTGCTATGCAAGAGAAGACCCATCTTGAGAATGAGTTAAGGGAACTGGAGAGGCAGAAGGACCAGAAAATCCTCTTCCTTAGAGAGCAGTCCAAACTCCTGAGCCAAAGGACAGAGAATGACAGGCAAAAGAAGATGCAACTTGCTCAAGAGCTTTCTCGGCTTGAATCAGAAATACTTACAGAAAAAGATCAGATTTATGAAAAAGAAAGGAATATCCGGGAACTCCAATCCAAAGTTAACAGGGAGGAGCTGAACAATGAGACCCAAATGAGAGAGACCAATCTCTCCACTAAGATCTCTATTCTGGACCCAGAGACAGGCAAGGACATATCACCCTACGAGGCCTACAAAAGAGGCATGATAGACAGATGTCAGTACATCCAGCTTCAAGAATTAGAGTGTGACTGGGAGGAAATCACAACCCTGGGGCCCAAAGGTGAAATTTCTGTCCTTCTTGACAAGAAGAGTGGAAAACAGTACTCCATTGACGATGCTCTGCGGTTTAGAAGGATTACCAAGGAGGAATATCAGCTCTACAGGGAAGGCAAAATCCCCATTTCTGAGTTTGCTCTGCTGGTAGCAGGAGAAACAAAGCAGAGTTCTTCCCTTTCTCTTGGTTCAATCATCTCCAAGTCTCCAGCTACATCCCCTGCCTTCCAGAAAAAGCAGAGTTTCTTTCCTCCTGGGCCACAAATGGCTTTCTGTGATGACACTTTCCCCATTGCTGGAATATATGATACCACCTCTGAGAACAAGTACAACATTAAGTCTGCACTTAGTAAGAAGCTCATAGATCCAATGACGGCTCAAAAGCTTCTAGAGGCTCAAGCTGCAACAGGAGGCATTGTGGATCTTATTTCACGGGATCGCTACTCTGTCCACAAGGCCATTGATAGAGGATTGATTGACAACACCTATATGCAGAGGTTGCTGAATGCTCAGAAAGCTTTCACTGGGATTGAAGATCCTGTCACCAAGAGAAGGCTGTCTGTAGGAGAGGCAGTCCAGAAAGGGTGGATTACCAATGAAAATGCCTTCCCTTATTTACAGGTCCAACACTTGACTAGAGGGCTTATAGATCCCAAGAAAACTGGTCGAATCCCTGTGTCAGAGGCTGTCCAGACAGGCATGCTTAGCAGTGACCTGGCCATGATGCTGGAAGATGAATCGAACTACGAGAAGGATCTTGTTGATCCTATCACCAAGGAGAAGATTAATTACAAGGAAGCCATGGCTCGTTGTCAGAAAGATCCTCTAAGCGGGCTTCTGCTGCTGCCAGCTGCTTCAGAGGGATACCAGTCATATCAATCAGCAAACCATTCACCCACCTTGCCTCAGTTCAGGCACTGAAAGACACATCACATTCTTTAATTCTCTGATGGCCTCATCATCTTTAATTCCCTGATTGCTTTAAATGTGACCCCGTGCCCTTTCCCTGTTGGACACTAGCTCCATTGTTCTCCTTCCACTGGCCATGCCGGCTGGGTCTGATGGGAAGGGAAGCCCTAAACATCTGGAGGAACAAGGTTGGGTCTGATGGGAAGGGAAGCCCTAAACATCTGGAGGAACAAGGTCAGGAAAGGCTGTTTTGAATCCTAAGCAGAACTCATATCCTGTCCATTGGTTAACAAAACACTTGGCAATTTGCGAGGGTCTGTGTGCTATTCTAGGTAGGTAATCTTACTTCATTATACCAAGGCAGCAATGCCTCTTAAAAGTGCATTTCTCAGGGTGGAAGAGTTTTCATGCATAAGTAACTGAATGCTATAGGGCAATAAAGGGGATTTCAAAATCAAACATATGTACCGTACTTGGGGAATCATGCACATCAAGTTTGAAAAGATGTGCATCAAGGTGCTTTGCGCTTGTTGTCATGCATTTAATAAAAATGTTAAAATATTTAAAAGGCTTCATTACTTATCTGTATATATATGGGCACCACCTGTTACCCTAAAATGCACATCAGGAGCACCAAATAACTTAGAGCAGAGTAAACCAGAAAAGGATTTATTAGGTGAAAGCATCCACTGAATGTAGCTACAAGAGAAAAATGACAGTGCCAAAATTTACATGCAGGCTGAGGGCCAAAGAATTAACACGATCAGAAATCATGTCAGTCCAAATCCTTTATCATCTTGCAGTACCTATCTCATACAGCTTCCTTCTTGATACACTGATGATCAGAGACTTTCATATTTTCATTGAATTAGCAATTACAATAACTCCAATGGTATTTATTTTCAATAAACAATAACAATGGAGGTCACCATTTTAAATGTATAATGGTTTAGATGATTCAGAGACCACATTCATCTTGTTTTGGATGGAAGAAAAGAGTTTTCTCAAGTATTATGGCAAAGAATAGAGACCATATGATGAAGGATAAAGAAATAAACTAAAGTGTGCCCCATATGCACGCCACTCAGTGATTTTTGTTGAGCATGGTTAGATGCTAATAGCATTGTGAACACAAGAAATACGTTACTTTACTAAAAGCAGGAAGAATGAAACCTCAGAGTGATAGCAAAAATTGTGATGCCCTACACTTTTTTTAAGGCTGTGCTAGTACAGCCCGAATCAATAAAATGAATTTCTTTACAATGCAGTATCTGAACCACAGCAAAGATTAATGTATGACTGCAAGAACAGGACTTAGTTTTAAAAAATTGTCACATTCCATCAGTCCAAGTAGATGTTAAACTTAAGACTGCAAGTCATATTTCTCCTCTTCATATGCTACAAGAACCAAGAATTTTTTCTTAATATTTAAAGAACAAGATGCAATTTGTATACCCTTTAGAATAGTCCAAATCTAGATACATATAATATTAACCCAAGCAAAAGATTGAGGACATTTAAACAAAGATAAGCAGGTTCCACCTTCTTCGGTCACTCCAGAACTGCCTCTTCTCATGGGCCATACCTCTGCACTACACGTTGTTCTCTAGCGTCCCGTGGTGTCTGCCAGAAATACTGGTGGGTCAAAGCAGCTTTGGCAGATATGCGCTTGTTGGGATCATACAATAGTAGTTGCTGTAATTTTTAAAATGAGGTGAATGTAAGCAAATGTATAGGTCTTGGCCCTTTGCACTGGTCTTACCACTTTTATTGAAAATTAGCCATTATTCAAACAATCCTAAAAGAATTAAACATTTGTCAGAATGTGACAAAGAAACAGTGCTGGTGACTGGCTTTTATGTAAAAGTAAAGATGATGAGAATGGAGCCTGTAGTGAAGATGCTTGCCCTCCTTAAATTGTGTACAAAACTGGGGATTATGGTGTGAATAGATCTTGAGAGAGCACAGCTATTGAACACCACAAACAAACAATGTTGATTGTCCTATGGAAATCATCATCATCTTAGAACTGCAGAGCTGGAAGGGATTCTATGGATTGAATCCTATCAAGGAGGCACAGTGGGGAATCAAACTTGCAACCTCTGGTTATGCAGCCAGATACCTAAACTACTAAGCTATCCAGCAGATAATAATATGACCAATACTGAAAAATGTGATTTTTAATCTTAATGTTTGTTGTTGTGGGTTTTTCGGGCTCTTTAGCCGTGTTCTGAAAACCCACAACAACCATTAGATCCCAGCCGTGAAAACCTTCGCGAATATACTTAATGTTTGTCTTAATTTAAGCAACTCTTTACTATTCTGAAATCCTAGGTTTTTTTACATTCTGTTACGGGTGTAATACCCTGACATAATGGAATATGGCATGAATCATACATACTCTTCAGGGATAAGGCTGGCTTTCAGACTGATCTGTTAACCATAATTTTTGATTTACAATAAAACTGTCACAAGGATTTTGAGAAATAATGAGCCCACACCATTTGTTTCAACCTACTACTCAGAGTTCTAGATTAACCATGAAGCAAAATAAGCACATGCTTAGGGCATCAACAAAGGAAGGGGGCACCACAGAGTTTTTTTCACTGCTGGATGTTTATAGGGGGCACCACAATCTTTTCAGTGCTTAGTGCCTCTAAAGGTCTTAACTACTCACAGCCAATAAGTCTCGTCCATCCCGATCCAAGTGTGGAATTACCACCTTCAAGTCTTTTCTCGGCCATTTGGGGAAATTCGCTTTGTAGTCAGGAAGCTGAGTCACTCCTGGCCAGAGTGATTCAGTAGGTGTCCCAAGAGCGCGGAAAATCCGGAAGAGTTGATCAATTTCAGAATCCCCTGGAAACAAGGCTTTTCTGGTTACCTGGGACAACAAAGAGGATGATTTGCTAACCCGCCCTTTCACAGCAAAGACTCGTTCTCTTGGCTACACTGCAGCTATAGTATTCTCTATATGATTGTCCTGATTCTCCCATGAACTACAATCCTAAATATTGTCTTGAAAGCTCAGAGATGAAAAATAACAAATAGAGCCATAAAAGCAAGAGATTATTATCCAGTTTTCTCTCGTTCTGACACCCTATTTTTCTCTTCTCTTTCTACCATCTCTGCCCACCAGGCTCTCAGGGAAAGGAAAGACTACCTTTCCTGACAGAGATTTGAATAACTGCAACCCTGCTTTTGAAACACCCAGCCCCATATATACAACAATATGAAATGTGCTAGGGTTTTGTTTGTTTTAAATATATTCATTTCTTAAGATATGTTCTTTCGATCAGGACTGATAAAATCACTGCCCTGGCTTTTGGATATCAGGCAAGAGATGGTGATGCTGAATGAAGAGCTTGCACTGATCATTTTTGTATTGTTCAAACATTGTGAATCATATTAGGATATGTACTCACAGGCAAAATCTCAGTAAGGTCAAGTCATGCCACATCATGTAATCAGCTACAGCCGTACTTTGTGAATGAAGCTTCCTACCCTCCCTCTACTAGGTTCTTAGGTTCCCTCAGGATCCTTTTGGTCCTATGGAAGCTGTTGGTGACATCATGGGGGCAACAGTTTTAACTACATCTGCAAATTGTTGCTGCCAGTCTTTGGGGCCACAGTGGAACCTGTAGCAGTGATTTTTGGACATTTAAGACTCCCTTCATCCTGCTGTCCCCAAAGGCTTCCCCAGGATGAAATGGAGCTTAGGAACCATAGGGGAGGAGACAGGAAACCTTTTATTAACTAAATATGGGCTGACAGCATAATCAAGCTTGCATAGAGTAACTTTACTGGATTTCAGTCTGTCTATCCTTCAGTTGAGTTGTAAGCATAGTAAACCTTTTCTTCTTATACAACAGTGGCCTCTAGTGGTTGTTGCCACACTTACACTTATTTCTTATATCATTTGGAAACTATGGAAGCAACTGTGATGTTTTCATACCTTGAAAATGAGGTTTGCCATACATCAGATGTGACTTAGTGGCACGTAACAAACAATCCTAATCTACTTCGATTAATTTATTTTCCCCCACTTAACTGATTTATCCCATAACTGATTAAAAAGAAGGGTGGCTTATAGATTAAAAACATTGCAAGATGTCATATTAAAGCACCAATGAGCAAATTATTACTTTGAAAGACACTTGAATTTAAAAGCATGTCCATAAAAATACAACACGCAGCCATTCAAGGTAAAGATAAAGGTTCCCCTTGACATTTAGTCCAGGCGTGTCCGACTCATCCCCGTTTCCATTCAAAGATCCTTCCTAAACAACCAGTCAACCCCCCAAAACTTTATGAAAATGCTTGAATGAATAGAATCAGTCCTTGACTACTAGCCTAGCCTCTCCTGGAAGAGTACTCCACCATTTGGGAGCAGCCACCAAGAAGACCTTCTCTCACATTCCCACTAAATCAGCCCCAGAGAGTGGTGGGATGGAAAGAAGAGCCTCCTTTGCAGATCTCAAAGTCCAGCCAGCCTTGCTTCCTCACTAATCATGAACGGATCTTCTTTCAGAGACCATGGCCAACTTGGGTAGTCATGGTGTATAAATTCAAATGAGGTGTACATGTCTAAATACTTTTTTTTTCATGGGAAATGAAAATGCTATTGTGTCTAGAAAGTTGTGCCCCCTAGTATTGAAAATAATAATAAAAAAGTTACCATTTCTGCAAATATGCAGCCAATGCTCCAGATATCCACAGCTGTTGAATAGTACTTGCAGCCCAGTAAGATTTCAGGAGCCCGATACCATAATGTTACAACCTAGAAGGAAAGGTATTGAAAGCTGAGTATCATTTATTTGTTATATGATACAATGTGCAAAATGTAAAAACTTCAGGGTTGAACCATAACTTCAACATTTAGGTTCAGAATTACTGAATCCATTTTGTTTATTCAGGACTAAGCATATATGGACTTCCCCCGGACTGGGACCAGGGTGCATGGCTGAGTGATGTTTAAATCTTTTCACCACTTTTTTAAATTCCCTTCACTAGCATAAGGGCTTTAAAAGGGGGAGGAGGAATAATTTAACATTGGTGGTTTTTTTTCCTTTTTAAACACCCTGCCTTGGGCCTGAGTTCTTAAACAAACAAGCAAAGATTATCTGTGCTGGTTCCAGATGGGTCTGCACATGCTTGCTCTTGAGTAAAAAAGATATGCTGCCGCATGTTTTATGTTTAATATAGTATGCAGCAGAACACTGTCTTTGGTGGGAAGGAGAGAAAATGTTTCACTCCAATGAAGTCCACTGGAATGCAGCTTGATCATTTATTGTTACATTAACTTTCTGAACTTCTTTAAAAAATGTAATCAAGAGTGACAATTATGTAGAAAAATTATAGTAGGCATTTGGTTCCAAAAGCTTATACCACAATTAATAAAGTAGGCAGTTGAAAAGATACATACACTACTTTAACCTCAGTAGAGAAAATTAAATATGAACTGCCACTACTACCACTACTACTACTACAGTGGTGCCTCGCTTAAATGTAATCAAGAGTGACAATTATGTAGAAAAATTATAGTAGGCTTTTGGTTCCAAAAGCTTATACCACCGTTAATAAAGTAGGCAGTTGAAAAGATACATACACTACTTTAACCTCAGTAGAGAAAATTAGTATATAAATATGAACTGCCACTACTACTACTACTACTACTACTACTACTACTACTACTGCTAAAAAGAAGTTCGTCTTTAATGTGTCACAGATACTACTGACAGTTAGAGCTACTAGAGCGATAACTTTCCAAATCTAGTACAACTCAAACTCACTGAAGGGCTGGATGTTACATTAACTCTCTCCATGCCTCTTTTTCTCTCCCACTCTCCGTAACTAAATAAAATTACCAGATCTATACCTAGTGGGTAGGCAGCTGTACTTTTAAAGGTCAACCTAGCTGATACTATGAGGCGGTAAGTGGAGCAATCTTCAGTTTAAAAGGGCTATTGATTCCATCACAGACTTTCTCCTCATCTCGGCATGTTACCAAATTCACTTGCTCTTGTTCTGCAATTGGTTGCCATAATGTAAATGTGAGCTTTCTTTGAATCTTGATTGTTAGACATGGAGATATGAAGAAATTACATTCTTTGAGAGAAAACATGCTATCAGCTTCTAAGAAGCAAGTGTCTTGTCTAGTTTGTCTATCACTTTAGCATAGATGAGGACCTATCAGGAATTTGGAACATCTTCCATGGCAAAAATCTCTCTTAAAATAAATGGAAGTCTTCTCAAGAACTGAGTATGTAGTATTTCATACAGAGAAAAGGAAAGACATTACCTCATGAGTATAGGTGCGTAGTGGAACACCAAAGGCTCTAGCTAAGCCAAAATCAGCTAGCTTGATGGCTCCCATCTCATTTATGAGTAAGTTCTGAGGTTTTAGGTCTCTATGGATAACTCTGTGTGAGTGGCAAAAACTCACCCCTTGTAATAGTTGGTAAAGGTAGCTCTATGAAGAAAAGATTCAAAGTTACATAAATAAATTATGGTAAGTTGCTACATAATTTGCTTGACATGTAAATATCCTTTGTGTGCAGCATCTGTTCGTATTATATACGCATGTCTAGCTTTTCTCCACAACAGGAAGCCTATACCTTGATCAAGCTCATAGGAAGTCCCCCTGTGTGGGATGAGTCCATGTACTTTTTAAGGTCCTGATTCAGGTATTCAAAGACTAAATAGAGTTTCTTCTGGCTGTGTACCACATCAAGAAGCCTGAAATAAAAATTAAATCCAGTGACTGACAGGAAAACACATAAGAGCCTGAGCTCCTAAAGAGAAGATGAGAAAACGTTGTTGCTGTTTTTTCCTGTAGCAATGTAATTTCTCCACAGCTTCACATCTGAGCAAAGCTCATATCAGAACAATCAAAAGTCTTGTCACTTCAGGGAACACCATGTCTAAGTGTGTTCGGTTTCGGAAGAATGTACAGTATATTGTCACTGTTGTACAAATGACTAAGCTATCACACCCTCCATTCTTGTACCACTGAATAAGAACAATTGTGGTATGTTGGTCACTAGACTGCTACACTAAAATTAGGAAGATGAAGGTTCAAATCTCAATTCAGGTATGGAACTTAGCCCAACTGTGGGTGCAGCTACACTGTGATTTGATTCACAGCCTGTATTATATCTGAAATTGCAGTCAGTGCTCAAAAGAGGGGCTGTGGATTGATTCAGGAGTTCACCATTCATCCTGGAAGGAGTGTGATTTGCATTCCAGCCCACAGCGCTCCATCCTTTCCTTCCTTCCTTCTAATCCCAGTGTTGCTGATCCTTCCTTCCTCTGGTCCCTCCTGTGCTGAGCTGACAAGGAACTGATGAGATTAGTAGCCACAAACTAGGGCTTGTATTAGTTCAGGAGGTGTCACAGCCCCTACAGAATCAGACATTCAACCCGCAAGGGCAGCTCATATCCTGTGGGCAGAGAATCTGATGCAAGCCACCAATCATTCTCACTCTTAAATGGTGTTCCTGGAGAAGGCTCATTAAAATATGCACAAATCACTTCCTCAGTCTAGAAATACTCCTTACCATGATACAAAACTATGCAATGCTGGTGTCAGCATTAGGAGAGGCATCTCCCTTAAGGCAGGTGAGGCACTGCCTGACTTCAGACTACCCACCCCGTCAGCCCATTCCTGTTGCTTTCTTACCAGAGGTGGAGGATATTTGGTGCCTTTGTTCTCCTCTTGACATGTATGTGTGTTTATATGTGTATGAAATCACACTCTTGCCCTGATTCTGCCTGTTACTGCTGGCTCTCCTCACCTGTGTTATTTCCTGTCCCAACAACCAAAACAGGCACCGGCCCCTGATCGTTATGCAGACGAGAACACCTGGCATTTAATGTTCAGCAGCTCTTCTTACCTGACTATGTTTGGATGCTTCAGTTCTTTCAGCAGAGAGATTTCCCTGATTGCTGTACTGGGCACTCCTTCTGTCTCACTGTGGGAAAAAGAGATTCTGACATCAAGCACTCTAAATCGCCTCAAGTAAAATCCTATTGGGCAGAATTATACATTGCCATTGGTGATTATTCCTTCCTGGGTATCTGTCCATGACTGTGTACGGGACAGGAGAAATTCCAGAATTTACAAGCTGTACACTGAACCAATGTCACAACCACTTTATCCTCCACTGCCTCCCATGTACAAGTCAGTGAATGAACTGGAGGAATAAAGTCCGTTGTTTGATCAATCAAGCTGCTTGGTGGGGACGACTCTATGAAAGGATTCAGCAGAAATGGCATAGGAACACTGAGAGAGGCTGTGTGAGCTTTTGGGATATGAAGAGCTCTTACAAATAGGGAAGCAGGACTAGACGAGAGAGCATAGTTAGCACATATAGGTCCTGGAGGCCATTTCAGAACCTCCTGAGAGGGTCTATCACATCCCACTCTAAATTTGTCACGGTCTAGCTTTTAATGACCAATTATCGTTGCATGGCCTCAGACAACTCCCCCACAATGGAAGCCATGTCAAAAATGAAAAGCCTTTTACAGATTAATTAGTATTTAGCATATACAGGTATCTCAAAAATAAAAATGAAAGAGTCGGGGTACTTTAGAGATTATCAATTTTGTTTCAGTGTAAGCTGAATCCATTTCCTCAGCTATATTGTAAGAATGTGCATTGTAATCCATAAAAACTCAGTGAAATAAATTTGTCACTCTTTAAGTTGCCACAACAGTCAACATTACTGATCTACTGCAACGCACACAGGCCATAATGCAGCAACCATACTGGAATTAAGCAAACAGGGATCTGGTCACTTCCTGGACAGATGTTCACTCTGCACAATGGCTTGAATTCTATCAGAAAGGATATGAATTGAATTTTGATATGGATAATATTTTACCTGAAAAGCTGGATTCTGTTAGGAACACAAAGTGATGCGGAAAACACTACCTATGATTTTTCATACATTTATTCAACTCAGCTGTAATCCTGTTTGTATAAATTCTGCAGTGTAAGGCTATGATGTCATCAGCCAAGACAATTCCTCGGAAATTAAACATTTACTTCCCCCATACCTTGGCCCCCATGGGTTCCGAGTAATCTCTTTTATCTCTATGTGGGCTGCAGAATGGGAAGAAGGAGTCTTTAACTGCAGTTGTAATTTATAATTGTAATTAAAGACTTCCCCCACCCATCTCTGAGCCCCCACAGGTTTCTGACAATGAAAAGGATTGCTCGAGAACCATGGGAAGCAGGGGATAAAAGGAGGAAATGTTTAATTTTTAAAAAATGGCCTCAACTGATGATGTCATCAATCTTATGCCATGGAAATTAGATGAACAGGATCTCAGCTGTTGTATGAAATCAACACATAGAACACATCCAAGGGAAAGTTTGTGAAGTAGAAATAGGAAACCCGGATACTTACGAATCTAGACGAATCTTCTTCAAAGCAACTAACTGGCCTGTCTGTTTGTTTCTAGCCTTGTATACTACTCCATAGGTGCCCTCCCCAATCTTCTCCACTTTCTGGAATACATCCTGGAATGTGTCCATTCTTTGTCTTCTGACTTGCTCCTATAACATTTACTCAGATTATAAACAACAGTTCTACCTTGCCATGTCTGTACAGCATGGTATAGCATGTCATGGTCTGTCCACTCCCACGCCCATGCGAAGTAACAGCCCTTCTACTTAGGTTTAACTGCATCAAGTTTTAAGTGGGCTAATGCTTATTCTCTATTCCACACATATACACCCTTTAGCAAACAAAGAATTTCCCCCAATACATACATTTGTGGTTCCATTACTACCAGGATAGCTCAGCATCAGGAATACATTATCCTTTTCATCCCCACACAATGGATGGAAGGTAGACATATCAGTATCCTGTCCTGTTTGAGAAACTCAGAGCGAACTGCATATCATTCAAGGTTTTAGTGCTAGTCCATAAAAGCCTTAATGGTTTGGGGCCCCAGTATTTGTTGGAGCATCTTTCCCTCAGAACATCAAACCAATGCCGCCCGTTTATCAGAGGCTTTGCTTCTCTGGGTTGCCCACCAAGAGAGGCCAAAAAGACCATTTCTAGGAATCATGCTTTCTGGGCTGTGGCCCCTGTTTTATGGAATGGTCTCCCGGCACCTGTTTCCCCCAAAATAAGACCTATCATAACCTGAAAATAAGCCTAAGTATGATTTTCAGGAATCATGCTTTCTGGGCTGTGGCCCGTTTTATGGAATGGTCTCCCGGTACCTGTTTCCCCAAAAATAAGCCCGTAACCTGAAAATAAGCCCTAGTATGATTTTTCAGGATGCTCGTAATATAAGCCCTACCCCCCAAAATAAGCCCTAGTTAAGTGAAACCCCGCCCTCCACCATTGCGCAGCAACCAGAAGATGACATGACTGTACAGTATTTGAATAGATGTAGATTGTTGTATGTGAAAAAAAATAAAACAACCCCTGAAAATAAGCCCTAATGTGTTTCTGGAGCAAAAATTAATATAAGTCCCTGTCTTATTTTCAGGGAAACACGGTAGAAGTTTGCCAGGCCTCCTCGCTCCCATCCTTTAAAAGAATATTAAAGACACGACTGTTTTTGGAAGCCTTCAAGGGCATCCTCCCTAAGTTATCTCTAGTTGTGTTCCTAGAGTGTGCCATCATTTGGGGCATCATGTACTTGCTGTATTTGTGCACTTGTGAGTGCCTTCTGTTGGTTTGTTGGGTGGTTGGGGTTAGGGTGTCATTGTCTTATTGTAAACCTCTCAGAGTAATGTTTCACACTAGGTCTGAAGGAAGGAAGGAAGGAAGGAA